AAATATTATATGCTTGTCATTTTTTGAAAACTATTACAAGTTGATTGCTTTTTCGGAAATTTTTTTAAATTACTTTTTAAAGTTTAGAGATTACTTGTAAGACAGTAAAAAGAATATCCTATGTAGTAAGTGAGTAAAAAAAATAAATGAAATAAATAAAATAAATTTCTTCAATATGATGCGGCACATAGAGCATCATATTGAAGAAATAGATCAGAGCTTCGAGTAATTTTATACTTTCCATTTAGTAAGTATTAAGCCGTTGTGAGGGGCTGGGGCTCTATCTCTGGTGAGGACTTGAAACCTACTATAATCGAATTAAGAGGTCACAGTACCCTTGCAACTATTTTTTTTAAATAAAGGTATAATCATTCATTTTCTGGATGCTTTACATTCTCATTTAACTTATAATCAATAATTTATGTTCAAAAAATAATTGAACTGTTAAATTTTTTTTTAAATTTTAAAAATTATTGAAACAATTCAAAATTTTTAAGAATTTTTTATTTAAACATATTTTGAAATGTTTTTTCTTAGTGCTTACAATATTCATTTTAATTCATTTTAATGTTGTGCATTCATTTGTTGATATATCAATTAATAAGTGTATTATACTTAAGATAAAAAAGTTTACTTCAAAGATTTATCTCAAATAGAAAAAATTCCTTAGGGATTTAATTAAGATTAAAACACAGAATTATCATCAATGAGAAAAAGCACTTTAAAGTCTGTCTGCTGAGCAAGTTTCTGTATTAGGGCAATCTAAAATCATTCATAACTTTTTTAAAAATGTAGATAGGGAAATGATTTTTTTCCAGTGCATTTGCAATAGTTTGAAGTTTTATTATAAGCAATAAAATTGTTTTCCGATATTTTGGTCATTTTTTGGGTACTGTGAACCCTTGAATTAACAAATAACATTTCTTAGTTTCTCTTGACGAAAATATTGTTTGGTTAATAACAAGCATATTATATTTTATCTAAAACTAATCCATACTATAGTATATATATCGATTTATATCATGAATCTAATCTGAGAGACAGTCTATTTTGCAGCTAAGACTGAATCTATGGAAGAAAATGAAAGTCAAAAGAAATGCAGCTAAGCTAGGCCCAACGCAACCAGGTATGAAATGTCTCAACCACCAATTCCATTACAAGCTATCTCTTATCCCTTTCTATAACATATAATAATAATAAGAAAGTTTTCCACAATTCCTAAGGGAAGATTCCATTTAGTAGTAGTTACACTGTCTGAAGTATCACTGTGTATGGAGAATCATTATTTGTGATGATTTATAGAAGAAGTCTTTGCAGATAAACTTATTGAAGGACCGAGACGATTACTAGTAACTATGAGAACAAAAAGGGTACTTCTGCGTCACCTAATATTTTTGAATGAATCTAACCTGAATTTGCTTTACGTGAAGAGGTTTTATCCATGATAATCACGATTTTGATGTGGAAAAAAAATGACGAATGAAACTATAATCGATCTAACACCGAAAATATATTGACAGACATATAGTCAGTTAAATTTCGAATGAACCAGCTCTAGTTAGGATTGGAATACGGTTTACTCCAGATAGTAGCAGAAACGGTCTACTTTTTGAGTTAACCCTCGTCACATGATTTTTTTCTTGATCGATTTATTTATCGGTGCATTATTATATTATTTAAAGGTGCTATAACATTTAAGTACAATTAGATTTTATAAATCTCTAATGAAAAACTGAAGTGCAATTTCTATCTAAAGTTGTTTTCTTTATCCAAAAAAGTTATATCAATGTCTGACAGCTTGTCTGCAGATATTTGTTTGTAGTCTTCCTTTAAAACTTTTTCTTTAAGTGCTGAAAGCTCTGGCTAGCACGTAATGTATTTTTTAAAGAGTGTGCTTCGTAATAACTACTCTTAATATGTATATTTAGAACCTTTGTTAAAAATCAAGATAAAAATAAGATAAGTGACGGAAATGTATGTTTAAGTAAGACAAAACACGTTATTGTAATTTAACAAAGATATCACTGAAATATAATGAAAAAATTGATTGGAAAAGGTAGGATTGCAACCAACAAAAACTGCTTGATTGTCGAAGAAAATAAGGAGGAGGAAACTCTACTGTTTCAAGAGCTTAACAGAGTGAAATTTTGCCCTCTATTTTTCGTGGCCGTGATATTTCCGGGCTGTTGTGTTCAAAAGTAATGTGCCAAAGAGATTAAAACAATAAATTTCATATGCTCGAAATGACGTTTAGTTCTCAATCTATACACCAGATGGCAGCACACAATTTGAAGTGAATTTGTAATCGAGATGTCAGCACTCATCAAACATTTAAGCTAAAAATTCAGTTTTATATAATTTTCTTGACTGAAGAAAATAGGTATTTCTCTGACCGTTTTCTCCGAAATCTTGCAACCATTAAGGGATTAATGTGTTAACTACTTTGACATTATTATAGACAAGCATTCTATAAATACATATGAAGGGCAGTAATTACAAAACATTCTGTACTTTTGTAGTTTTAATTACAATAAAAATTACAATATTTTCACTTATTTATTTCCATCAAGAATTATAGACGTTGGATTGTTATATAACAAAAATTTCTTGCATCAGAAATGGATTTTATAAGCATTAAAGAGTTTTTCATTTTTTTTAAATCCCAGAATTTAGAGTTTATTGCAATACCAACGATAGAATATTTAATTACGACGCAAAATAGGTAAAATTGATTTCAAACTCAGGAATTTAATTGAAAAAAAGTTATTTTAGTTTAAAACATATAAAATTTTGACTTCCTCAAATAGCCAGTCAAAAGCAACTGTTATTACAAATAAAATGTTTTCAGATAAGAAAAATTGTTTGTCAGAAGCAAAGAAAAAGTTTCTTTTTGTTCCTATAGCTGTGATAAATTCGGCTATTATCAAACTTTCTGCTCGACTAATTGCATTTCTGATTTTTATAAATGTCTAGTTCCATTACATCATATTTTGTTTATCATGCGAATCAATAAGTAACAGTGTTAGAATTTATCTCCACTGACATTACATCCGAATCAATTTTCATCCTTTTTAGCGGTGTGTCAGCAATTTAACTTGACTATGATTATTTTTTTGGTTCAATTAAAGGCAACTTTATATAATTGCACTTCATAAGTTAATTTTTTAAATAAAAGATGAAATAATTATTTTTTGATTTTGTGAACTAGTTTTTTGCGGAGAAACCGAAAATGTTTTAGAGTGAAAAATGGTTTGAAGAAATAAAATTATTTAACTCATTTCCAAGAAAAAAACCCACATAAATTTGGTAATATATATTCTGTAATATTTCTTTCTATGTTAACCTAATTACATTTGGGAAATGTTTTTTCAAAAAATTATGATTTAAGAGCAATGACGTTAACCTTTTACTTACGGCGCTGAGCATAATGAAGCCATTCTGGTCCACTTATTGTACCAGGCGCAAGCAAAAGGTTCATACTTTTTTAAAATTAAAAGTTAAATAATGAAGGGGCTTGGAAATATAAGAATCGCAACGTTTTTCCTGATTTCTTTTTCGTCACATGTTAATTAGAATCGCGTTAACTTTAACTTTAGACAAATGACTTATTCCTTTTAAATTTAGTCAATTCCTCTTGTTTTAGTAATTTTTCTAATTCTTCATGATCACTAACAGTAACATTGAATAATTATTTTAGTTTCAAAGTATGGAACATTTAACAACGAACTCTGTGTTGAAATGGTGACATTACAAAGGGGTTTTTTCTTACAGAACTGTAATTATCAATAAAAGACACTAAAACATGTTTTCCAATTTCGAAAACATTGCATCGGACGCAGTCAATTGTTAAACATTTTATGGAGGATTGCTAGCATTATTCATATAATGTTTTAAGTGATAGCTATCATTAGGTATTGCAGTAAGTGATGCACTTCTTATTTTATTATAACCGTCTTTGTACGACTCAATTTTGAGTTCTACCAATGTTCAACTAACTCAGTAGTCTTGTAATTTTGAATCCAATCCAGAAGACAAGGGATCTCCTGGATCAAGTACGGGGAGAAATTGCCTTCATGGAAGAATTTTTGATGAAATTAACCCATCTTTGCTTTACAAGGAGAGGAAAACCACAAAAAACTCCAACGGTTAGCCTGATGGCCTAAGTCATGGTCTGTATACCACTGAGAATATTTTACATATTTTACGTTAGCACTGTGGCTAGTGTGAGCTATGTGTAGAATTCGTGCCGACCAGCCATTACTGGGATTCCAGCCTAGACCACCTCAATTGGTGGCAAGGGTGGCATGGCTCAGTGAGTGATGCTTGTTCTCGGTGCAATCTCAAGAGATAAAAAAAGTTTTATATTGAAATAATGCTTCAACCGTGTATTTTGATTACTATCCGCTAACTCCACATCACTTCTAGAATTTATAAAAAAAGATAAATGTCAAAATATTTTATTTTCATTTCATTTTTTATCCTATCGCCCATGTTTTCGCTTTGTGGATATATTGCATGGCTTCTACTTGTGCAAATCAAATGGTCAATGACACTTTTATATTTTACATTTAACGGTAAAATGCCACTCATACTTGACATTTTTAATGATTTCATTTGTGTTTCTAAGAAAATATCTATCCTAAATAGAATTTTTTTTACCATGAATTAAGAAGAGCATTTCCTAATGGGGAATATTTCAATTCAAATCTAAACCTAATACTTCACTTCGTTGATCTTAAAATAATATTTAAAAAAAGTACTAGAGTTCATCAGAGTTCACCCCATTAGTATTAGAATCAGTCATTTGACGGATTGAGTTATTTAGTCATTTAGATGAAATTAACTAGTTATTTGGATGTTATTAGATGAGATTGTATATATAGTTATTTAGATGAAATTGAGTGTTGAGACACACCATAGAATGAAAATAGAAGAAAAAATTCCCAAGTTGAAGAAGAAAAGAGCCTATGTGTGTGCAAGTGGAAGGAGCTCTTTACTACCTGTGATGGCTATCTTGGCTGACCACTTGCTGGTCCCCTCCATTATTTGAGCCTCGCCCTGCTGCAGAGCGTCGATATGAGTGTCGGGGTCAATGGTAAAGGTCATCCTGAAAATCACAGTTCATCAGAATTGCCATACCTCGCATTTTGCACTTTCTCTTCTCAAGAATAGCAATAGAGCTATTGTCACTTATACACCATTGTTCCCCACCGTTCTGTATTTTCATTTCCTTAGTTCATACACATAACCTTGTATCACTGTCTATGAAATTCGTGTACTTTAAGATATTTTCCTTAGTTCTGTTCCTGCGATAAATAATACTTTTTCGGAAACGGAAGTGAACGGATTCGTATACAGATTTGATTCTCAAATCACCACCTTTATCCTCAAATATTATTTGAATAAGACTTGCGTTGTAGAAGTAGCAAAGGTAAAATCTTAGGGAATTCCAACGAACTAATGTCAACATTAATATTGTAGATGTAAAGTAATTTTTTTGTTTGTAAGATAAGGTAAGAAAACGGTATCAATGATTTCTTGCCGTCGAAATTCGAAGTAGGAATTCTTGACGTCGAAAAGGAGGAAGCAATAACCATTGCGAAGAGGTAGAAACCGAAATTTTGAGGCTAATTTTAATTGACTTAATCTTTGCTCCAACTTGCGACTATGTTAATTTACATACTTAGTTTTCTTATTAACTATGCACTTGTGGATCACACTATGAGGTTAAGGCGACGCTTGTAACTCTGGTTGCAGAGCTGGGAGTAATGATTTTGATCCTGATGATTGACAAACCAACAAATGGTGTATAACAGCAAGGCACACGTCAAATCTGTGACGTCAAATCTGTGTATGTGCACGTAAAATCTGACTGAAAGTCTTCTCTTTGGTTGTGGAGTGTAAGTATGCATCGTTTGACCAGGGTCAAAATTACGTGGCATTCCTACCATGGCCGTTTAAGGATAGAGGTCTAAAAATGGAACTAGATATTTGGTCATGGTTGGGTGGTGTGTGTGGTTCACACTATTGAGGTGATTATTACTCGATTTTCGATAAGAATTATGAAATTATATGACAAAGATGGTGATTCAAGAAAACTCTGCATACGGAATTTTTTTTTACTTATTATTTTCGTCAAAAGTTTAAAAATACGATCATACGTTTTGTAATAGAGCAGTTTCATACCGTTTACTTATGAATTACCGCTACTGTTACTGTTTACTGATTACATACCGCTTACTGTTTGTTTAACCCATAGCTCTAGCTACAATAAATTTTATATAACGGTATATACTCTTTTTTTTAATAATTATTTTTCCTTCTGAAACGTGAATGGATACTGACGAATCAAAATACGAAATATGGCAATCAGTTAGTGATACAAACAACAAGAACAACAGTGAGACACGGATACAACATCAAGAAATATATATATACGGAGCATGCCACTTCAACAAACACAACACGATACATTCATTCATATTCACACAAACACCATGGTATATGGAAAGTTAGCACATAGACAGGCCAAAGCGATGGACAGTGTTGGGTGGTCAGTAGTGACCTACCGGTGATGGCGATTTTGGCTGACCATTTGGAAGTGCCATCCAGAACACTCTGCTTCACGGCTTTCATGTGCCCCGCGTGAAGCGATGTTTCAACCGAAAATATGCCCCTAATATTGAAAATAATGTTTATAAAAGAACATCGTTTTTTATCTGGACATACCTGTAGTACCTTAAGCATTGTTGTTATTTAGGTCCAAATGAAAGTTTAAGTGCAGTTAAGGAAAAATAATCAAACTGCGATACAATCCTGTTTATAACTCAGGGTATTTGAACGAAATGCGATGAGTTAATCCAGAAAAGTTCGAATGATATTTGATAAGTTGTTAATATCTTCGGTATATTCTCTAACCGATATTTATTATCGACAAAATGTTAAGTGTCTGCACATAAAAGTGTTAGATGTTTATCATTGAGTATAGTTTTTAAAAACTCTGATAATTATTGCCAAAAGCATAACTGAGTCTATACTTTCAGAACAGATCTGTTAGCATTTTTACTTTTAGTATAGTTTTCAGCAGATTTTCAGTACAGTAATGTACGATACAGTTTTTCTGATAGAAAGTAACAAAGTTGCTATTTGTGTTATCACACAACAGATTAGAAAAAAAAGTTACGTTTGAGAACTTAGGAATGAATACATAAATTTGAAATAGGAAAATAATGAAGAAAATGAAAACTGTAATCTTTTGATTTAAATAAGGTTTTTCTGATTAATAGAAAATTTAGGATCAAGGTTAAAATTTACTTCGGCTGAGCAAGCAAAAACTTAGTTGCATAGTGTAAAAAAGTTACGCGAATTTATAATTTTTGAATCCACATTCTGAGAAAAAAAATAATATTTCGCATTACACAGGTACTTTTTTACACTTCAATAGCTGTTTTAAAGAAATAGAAAATGCTTTTAGAGATAAATGCACAAGCTTGAGGTAAAGACTAACAAACTTTTTTCATCAGTAAACAGCTGAACATTTGCTGCCAACAATAATACTTGAATAATCTTATAAAGCTAACTAATTCGAAATGGCAGCAAAAAGCTGCATATTTGTTGATAACAATAATACTTTAGCAATCTTATAACTCTGACTAACCTTACACAGCACCAAAATGCTGCATATTTGTTGTCATTTGATATTCTTAATTGGCAAAAAATTGTTGCCTTTGATATTCTTAAAAAGCTGACTAACTCGAAAAAGCAACAAAGAGCTGCATATTTGTTATCAACAGTAATACTTAAATAATTTTATAAGTCCGTTTCTCTAAATTCAATTTTCAATTACTAATCCTAAAGTTTACTTATATACGAAAGGTTTTCATCAGCCAAATAATTAAAATTTAATCAATGATTAAGAAGGTGAGGTATATCCAGATGGTTAATTATGTATCGGTTAAAATAATCAATATTTGCCACATCATTTAATATGAAATTATGCATGAAAATAAAAAGTAGTAATTTAAATATAAATTAAAATTTTGTTTTATAAATAATTTATTGTACTATTTGCTTAGTGAGCAAATTAATATCAATTATTTTTATTTTAACAAAACACATAAACAATACACATAGAAAGAGAACATCAATATTTTCAAAATAAAACATATATTTAGTCAATCTAAATACAATGCTGCATAATTTACAAAATTTTAGCAATAACTTTCTTTTAACTGTATTTACTACGCTAAATAAATAAATTATTTTTACTTTAAACGTTAAAATAATTTATTTATTATCAATCAGAATGTTGAATAGTTAAAATGAATTTATAGTTAAGATAATTTAGCGACTTCTTTTGTTTCTGATTCATTCTTTATCTCATTTTTTTCTATTTTTTTTAATTTTTATTGTTTTTTTAAAATAACTTTTTGTAAGAAAATATTTTTTTGTAAGAAAGATAAAATGAAATAACAATGTAGTAGCAGTATGCAGTAATATTTCATTTGAGTACAGGAAAATTAATACCGATAAAGCTGTAATCAAAATTTTTTTTGGCTTTTTCGTCATTGTCTAATAATAATGAAATGTAAACAGACTTTCCTCTGATAATGAATCTATAGAATATAAATTACAAAATTTTCAATCTGTATTGCAAGAAATTTTTTTAAAAAAAGAGATATTTTTTATTACTTTATAATTTAATAAAATGTAAATTCAAGATGTAGAAGAACTACCATTTATTTGAGAGAAATATTCAATTTTTAATTAAAACTAAAAAAAAAATATGTAAGGCGCCTTAAAATAATTAGATTCATAATAGTCCTGTGGCTGTAATCAGAATAAAGCCCTAAAAAGGAAACTAAAATTGTTTCTTCAGGCAAGATAAGTTTTTTTTGTTGAAAAATTAAGAAAACATATTTTCTTTCAAAAAATTAAATTTTAAGAATACATGCAGACCGAGATTAATAAAGCCGGAGAATTCATTTTAATTAGCATTAAATAAAATCTTGAAAAATCCACGCTTGGTTAAATTTAATTATATATCTTGGCTTCTTTCTTAAGTATAATTATACAGTTATCACACTTTTTTGTGCATAAATGTAAACATAAGAAAATTGGAAAAAACAACCATGTCTTACAGTATTGGGCTTCGTTATTAATTAAGTAAATTATAATTTCTGTACACGGTCGGTCTTTTTTACTGATTTTCTTATTTTTGTAAATTAGATAGTCAAATATATTTCATTTCAGAATTTCTTTTTTTAAAAAAGAATATTGCTATCAAAGGAAGAATTAAATATATTACGTAACATATGATCTTAACTATATAGTAAAGCTAAAACTGTATTAAAATCACAATTGAAGTATACATTTATACCGACATTTATTAACATTTTTACCTTATATTAATTATAAGGTACATAATTTTCATCAGTGGCAACGATTAATATAATTGTTTTAATTAAATTGTGTAAATATTTTTAATCATATTTTTCATTAAAACTAAAAATAATTATGTGAAAATAAATCATGATCTTGTCTTTATATGGTAAGACCTCGTACGCGCACTATATAATTTCAAGTACGTGTTTTCTTCAAGTATCAGCAAGTAAAAGAAACTTGGTACTAGAATACCTCGACAGTAGGGCAAAGATTTCCCATAGATTTTTTGTTTCTTATCAGTTATGCACTATCATTCTACGAAAATTGCTTTGAATTATTCTTGATTTTTTTATGAGCGTCTGATCTGGTAGGAACATTATCTTTTTCTTCTGTTACCCTTAAAATAACATGTAAAAATATTTAGTTTTAATATCTTAAATTAAGTGTAGGTGTGAGTTATCGCTTCATTCTTTCATTGCTTTCTCAAATTTTTTTTTTTCATTTCTTTCTCATTCTAATTGCTTTAGTGTTAGATTTTGAGTTAGTGATAAAATCTTTGGAGGAATTGTAAATTTTTGATTAATACTATGTTAAAAGGAGGAAAAAATATAAGCCTACCTGATAAGCTCAAAAATTTCTGGTTTGTCTCTTTCTCTTATCTTCATTCGTTCTTTCATGGCCATAATAATATTATTAGCTTTGTCGTCAGCCCCGTGCTTTGAGCTTTTCTCAGCAGCACCTATGATAATGCAGATTTTTATAGATTCAATGAAATTTATATTTAATTATATTGAAGACAGTATTTAATAGATAATAAAAAAGTATGTTTTTTAATGATAAGAAATATTAATAAAAAACTGTGTGATTATTTTCATAATTCAATAGATAAGTGTTATTCATTATTTTAATTTATTGATTATGATACGTGTAAATAGGTTATATAAAATATAAGTAATAAATGCACATTTCATTTTAAAGGGAAAAATAAAAGCAGATACTTTTATATTAGTTTGTATTATTAGTGATAGTATTAGAAGTTGTGAAAAAAATATAATGTAGTCAATTGTATATTATTGTATATTGTATATTAGTGAGATCATCGTAATTATTGCATATTAGTGAGAGATATATTATTGTAATTAGTGTATATTAATGAGAAAAATATAGTATTAAGCATAATAATTTATGTGCTGATTAGCACAAATGTGCAATTCATAAATAATGATTTACATCGATGCGCATTGATAAATATGGTTGCTAAAATTTCGAATAAAAAAAAGAAAGAAATTTGAAAAATTTTGTAAATTGTAATTTTTTAGTATTAAATATTGTATTTTCAAATATTTCCAATCAAAGTATTTATTGATTTCACATAGAAATCAATATATTTGCGAACATTCAGTACATTCACTGTGTCAAGATTCGTGTAGAAAATGTTTACATACATTTTTCTATTAAAATACAGAAATTGAATATGTATTAAATGTAAAATTAATTAAGTTAAAAAAAAAATAATTGAAATTTCAATTGCGGTCTACAACTCAGTTTTTATGAGTGCAAAAAATGTCCGCAACTGTGCGAATGGAATAACAGTCATGGATTTCTGCTCTAAATAGGAAGTAATGCTCTAACTGACAATTCAAAGTACTTTGCTAGAAACAAGGAGCTAATTTGCACCAGATAGGTATATTGTGCTTTAGTTTATTGTTTCAAGAATAAGCTGTACAGGCAGTATAGAGAGGGAGATATTATCAACCAAATCTAAGTAAATTGCATGCAATTTGCTGTGCACATCGGCCAAATGAATTCTTCTTCTTTAACACCCGGAGCCTCTACTTTTCCTTAACATCATGAACCAGAGACAGGTCCAGATTAAGGTGCGAATACTGCATTAATGAGGAATTTCAAGTACCAGTGGTAGAACACCCGGAGAGGAAGAGAGGAGAATGGAGAAAAAATTCTAAAGAAAGCCTTGGCCCACAAATGGCTGTTGAGCCAGTAAAAAAGAAGAAAGAATTGTCTACTCACGTTGGAGGCAGTCGGCGTTGAGCAGGTCCTTGCACTTCTCGTGACATTTGACACCGCATTCTGTGCATCGGACCCCCTGTCTGGCGATACCCCACAGAAGGCCCTCACACTCGTAGCAATATGTTGGACTGGTGGCCGTCCAAGGTTGGAAGTTGTGCGGCGTCGTACTCGAGATAGGGTAGATCAAGGCTTGGAGTGTCTTCTTGTACACGTGTGTTTTCTGTAATAATATTAGTGCGTTTAGCAATAAATATTTTAAGTAAGTAAATTTTAATTAATTGAATGTGGAAATAAATCTTTCAGAATTACATTCATGATAGTAAAGATAAGATTTAAAGCATTCAGAAGTTTTATTTGTAATTAAAATATTTATATGCAACATTGAATAAAATAGGCAAAGTTTTCAAATAGAAATACATATGATTTAAAAATAGTAAAAAAAAGTTCTAAAGAATACGTTATATTCAAAGCATATATAGCAAAAGGGCTCTCAACCCTATGCCATTCTAGAATGTGCTTTTAGGATCAAAAGGACTGGATCTGAAAAATGCTTTTATAGAGTTTTCTCTATACTCTATTTGATTTTTTTTATAGCTGGACTTGGTATAGATTTATTTATTTTTTACGACATATTAATAAATTGCAAAATCATAGTTTTCATCAGTCTAATCATTCTTACATGTTTTCTAAGACAGTTTTGAAGAAAATTTCAGTCCTGTATTTTTATGTTTTCATTCATATGTTTCTTTAAATCATTTAATTATTTCTAAAATAATTTTTCGGAAATTTATAAGCGTCTAGCGTAATGAAATGCCAATCAGATAAAAACGACATTCATGAGTATTAAAAATAATGTCGATAATAAATGCTATTCATAAAATTACATCAATACTAGAATTTGGAATGTGTTTACGCAAATGTTTAAATGTCAAATGCTATGTAAATATTGACATAGAAAAAATAAAAAATTTAGTTGCGTCTGAAGCATGCGTTCAATACATAATTTATAATATTGATGTGAAATAAAAACCTTATAACGGGCGTTGCTGTTTAACCGTAATAATTTGAATCCGACTTCAGTATTAAAATATACATTAAACAGGTTAAACGTACGTAAACGTATTAATTTTAAATGTATAATAAATTACGCTTTTTTTTACTCTTTCAGTTGTATATAATTTTTTAAGTAACTTGAAATTTACGATCAAGAAAATGAGAATAGATTTAAAAATTAGTAATATGGGTTTTAAGAATCGATTCAAAGTTTTAAATATTTTAAACTTTTTCCAGCACAGTAGTTTGAAAATTAATTTTTCACTTAATGTCGTTGATGATATTTAATATAAAATTTAATTATGGATAATGATGAAACTGTAATTTAAAACTTGCTTTTTTTATACGCCATATATGGTTTTCCATGAAAAATCTTAATTATTAGTTGAGACAAATAGTAGTTTTGAGCTTGACGACTTTTGTTAGTATGACGATGAGAACATACTTAGTTTTCATATGAAAGCCATATATGATAAATCTATTATAATATAAAAGCCAATATGAAAGCCATATGACATATTTAGTTTTATATGATAAAGTGGAGCTTTGAAATAACGAAAGTTTAATTATGGAAAATGACAAATTATATTTGTGAATTTAAAGCGCCGATGACATGCTTTATACAGTATTGGTTTAGGAAAGTTATTATGAATTGTGATAAACTCTATTTTTAAAATTAATGATTTCTGTTCTACGTCGATGAAATCATTTATAGTTTTGACATGCAAGTTAATAATAAATTATGATAAACTGCAGTTTTAAACAAAGTTTAGTTATGGGTAATGATAAATTGTACTATTCCCTTTAAGGACTTTTGTCTTTATGTCACTCATATAAAGAATATTTATTATGAATGACTAAGAAAATTTATAATGAATAAAAAGAAGTTTAACTAACTGTGATTAATTAAAAACACTCAAATAGAATATTTTTGTACTCACCAATTCCTCATCGTTCAAGGAGGCTCTAGGGACTGCTGATGTAAGACCAGCATTTCTCTTAGTAGCGGCCATGGTCTGTAAAATAAGTTCATCAATAAGAGAACAAGGCTTTCATTGAAAACTTTTAACAGAACTATATTTAATAATGTACAATTGCGGGTAATGTTAAACACTATGGATAATCATAAGGTACCCAAATAGATTCAAAAAAGGAAATTTCGTAAAATTTAGTTACAATTACATTTGATTTATGCATGCATTTTGTACTAAAACTTTTGCACTAAAGTCACACTTCAAGTGCCAAATCGTTTTATCGAGAAAATCTGAATATGTAATTTAAAGCTTTGATTGTAAATTATTTATTATCCAAGGATTACAAAAACCTCATCATATGGTTATCTTAATACTTTTTATTGGAGAGTAAAACAAATACAAACATATACATTGTAAAAAATTCCAAATTGCGGTAAGCAGCACCAAAGCTCAGGATGCCGGTACTTCTTACCTTAAAATCCATTTTTGCCAGAACGTGTTACGAAACAAAAAAAAATCTGATGTGCTGTAATTTTGACATTAATAATTACTGTAAAATTCACTTATTAAATAAACATTACAGTAAATATTTTACGGAAGATGCATTCAAAGTGCCGGTACTTCATACAGTAATTTGATCCGGAATTATTTACAGTGTACATTTGAACATATACATTTTAAATACAAGCACACAGATAGGGGTCAATCAAGTACTTCGAAATTAAAATTTAAAAAAAAAGAAAAAAGTGGAATTACTTGATTTAGTTTAGAAAGCATTCATATGTAGTGAGTATTTATGCTCAAATATAAGTAGATGGCACAATGAGATTTTAAGAATTCACACTTAAAAATGAAGGAAATAACGAGAAATCACATTTTAGAGTATAAGGTTAAATAGAATGCTTGCAGAGATGCCAACTGCTCCGGACACGCCAAAATAATTTAAAAAACGGTAAATAACTTCAAAGTAAATTTTGCAGATATTTGACTACTTCTGCTTACTTTTTAAAAGGTATAGCAAAACATAAGGGCTATAAGTGGCGAATTACATAAGCCAGCGAATTATTTAGAAATAGTGGTGGATAAAAATCTACTAAATTGAATTTATTAAACCAAGAATCACAATTGATAAACTACCACTTTAAAATATTTATTTTCTGTCCGGAGCAAGTTGGCATCTCTGTGCTTGTAGATAAATAGTCTTTTTTAAAATTATCACAACTTTCTGCTCTAGTCTAGGTAGAAATAAAGTTTATTTTGGAGAGAAAGAAAAATATATTTTATTTCACATAAAAATCGGAAGTTTGATAATTTTGTTATGAACGATCTAAGATCTTGTATTTGGGTACCTTAAATACTTATTTTGTTTAAACTAAGGTTAATTCAAGGAAAATAAAACGAATACGTTTTTAGTCAATAATCTAAAACTAAAAAGAAAGAATAATCTTATTAAATTTAAGATGATACATATTCAATATTTTCTTTTAAAGAGGACAGATAAATTTTCCGCATCAATTATTTAATTTGAATAATATACAGAAAAATTCAAAAAGTAATCTGGTGATTCATTAGATATTTATAGAATACTTTAATTAGAAATCTGTAATTAATCAAAGTAAATCTATAATTTAAAGACTTCCTCTACTTTCCTAAATGTATCGCTAAATTAAATATTTGAATTAGAAATTACTCATGATTTTTAATTAAAGTTACGGATTGTTAAAATGAGTTCTAATTTAGTAAAAAAAATTATTTATTAATAAAAGCTTCATTAATTTAATTTAATTTTGCAATAATAACATTTAATAAAGAAATACGCGACATAATATGATCTTAAATCAAAACATGGATTAATCATTTTTGTGTAGAAAGTAGCAAAGCATTCTTTTCAAAAAAGTATTACTAGTATGTGCTACTTTAAATTTAAATAGAATACGTTTAATCTTTTGATAAAAATAATGTGATTAATATATAAAACGGATTGAAAGAGTTTTAAATTAAAGGAAATTTAAACCATGATTTTTGTTACATTTTCGATAATTTTAATTACATTTTCTAAAGTAACTATAAAAGTATAAATTTGCTATAATTATTACTAAATGACTAGTAGTCATATTATTTAAAATGTTGTTAAATTGAAAGATGAAATAGTGATAAAAATTATAGTTAAAATTAAAAATAGATAAAAAATAATAGTACTAAATAGAAAAAGAGTAAAGCATACCTTAAGCACCTTCACCATAGGAAGCACAAAGAAAACAAGAAAACCAATGAAACAAAGTAGTAAGTTTAATTCAAGTAACTATACATTATTCAGTAAACATGAATTATTTAATAATTTATTAATACACTTATATGCAAAGTAGTATTGTGAATTATAAAATAACCTTGGAAGAGAATGATTATAGTTAAAAGAAAAGTTTCTATGTACAAATTAGAGTGTCTCGTTTGTAAGCATTTGATTGCGATTATATCTGAAAACTATTAGATATTTTTTAACAGGAAATACACAATTTTATACAGGTTTGCAAAATTCGTTTTTGAAATGTACTGAAATCCATGATTGCTTTTAAAATAGTTTATTTTGCTTTCCTTATAAATTTAATATTGTTACATTTTAGTTTTCTTATAAATATATTTTAGATTTTATGAGGTTACGTTTCAGCTTTTATACATATTAAATAATTTGCCAAAGATGGAAAATAATATGGATTAAATAATTTCAGTATATGTTTACAAATTAATGGCGATTTCAGTAATTCTTGGCATTTATTCCATGAGATTATGTCTTTTTGAACAAATTATTTAATGGGATTCTCATTTAGCCTAATTATTGATCATTTTATGATGGACATTAATGGACCCAAGAATTATGCGGAATGATTTTACATTAGTTTGCTGTGGCTTTATTTTTTTAATAACCCCAATATTACCATTATTTGCAGATTACAATGAATGATGATTACGCAGTTAGAGAGATTAAAAATTATTTTAAGAGAAAGAAAAAGCAAAATTAAATTAAATGTGTCGAGAATATTATTACAACACGCCATTTAGTATAACAAATTTTAAATTATCTTTTAAATTGACGATTAGAGGCATTTAAAGAACGTTTTTTTTATTTACTTTTGTTTGAGTACATAAACAGCAGATGTATTTTATTTGTTTTTATTACCACTCATAAATGATCCATTCATTTCACACAATTTTTATTTTTTTCTAAACAAGTTTAACTATCTATAAAAAAGACTTCCTATTATAGTCACATAAATTTCACATCTAAGTACCATTTTAATATTTAAGAAAGAAAAAAATCATTGGAAACATTAAGATAAATTGTTAATCAAGTGACATGTTTTGGGCTGTTATTATAATCGAACAAAAAATAATGTAAGGAATCAAGCTATTATTTTCTGATTTTTCCAGATTGAGCTTTTTAAATATTCATAAGGAAAAGTTTGTTTATTAATATTTGAAAAAAAACCTTTTTTATTCTGAATTTTACGAAAAGGATTTTTTTTTGCTCAGCGTAAAAACATTTTTTTAGCGCAAGAACATAAATCTCATGGAATAAATTATAGTTTATGATGATATTAAAGAGTGTATTAAAATTATTGTTATCGGAGCAATAATAAATATATGCTGATTACGATAAGGAGATATTTATAAATTTACAATTATATTGATATTTTTTGGTGAGGTTTTTTTTAAAAAGTAGCTTGCAATTTATTGTTGTTCCCATTCTCTTTTATTACATAATTAGCACATATTATAAAATCCTTTAACAAATCGGAAAATATTCTGAAACATATATGAAATATTTAAATTAGTTATTACATAAATGTGTTTAGAGTGAGGAATAATTTTTTTTCCTTTTTAGTGTTTATAAATTGGATGTTATGTTAACCGACCGTGGAAAAAATACTTGTTTAAGATAAAAGGTTGTTCATATACACGCAGGAGTAGTTCCTGAATAATGGAAAAAGCAATAACGATCAATCGAGATGTATGATTCTTACTATGCACTAACTTACCAATTCGCTAACCAGTGGAATTGATTTCCGCCTGGGTCGAATGTCAGGCATGGAATCGATGTTGCTGTAGAAGGGGTTATCCCCTGGTCTAAAAAATGAAAAATAAAACACTCATTATTACACATTTAATTTTGATCATTTCGACACATTAATACACATCTAATTGTATTTCATGTTTATTTTAAAATCCCTTGAGTTTTTATTTTCTTAACGAAGTTGTGTTCCTCAGTTCAGATGCGCAAGTAAATGATTAGGTTTAGAGATATCTACTCTGTATAATCTTTTTGTCCAATATGACATTATTAAAAATGATGTAGCCTAGTGCCTAATCCAACTTAGTGTCTAGTTCAGCCTAATGTCTAAAGTAATCAAACACTGTAAACAATAGAAAAAGATTATTTAGACTGTGTTCTCGAGTTAAATCAAAGTTTATACCGATAGGCAAAATCTAAAAAGTGAGTAAGATTGTGGAAAAAAAATGAAGCAATTAAAAGACGAGTATCTTAGCTACTTAGGGATCGGTGGGAGATTTGTCATCAAAGCTCAAATACGAGAATGAGTTTCACAATTATAATTTAATTTAACCCCGTCCCAACATAGGGCATCCCGGAAATACTTAAATCTAGAAATGTGCCTCTGTGTCCTATCAGTACAAGAAAACGACGTGATGAACAAAGGAGGCCTTCAAATGAAGCAACCCTGAGAGTGACCCTGGGTTGCACTGGTGTAAAAGTACAGATTTGAAGATGTGCTGTTTACAGAGATCCAAGCTACAACTGAAGAATGTTCCGTACTATAAATTTTCAAAGGTTACACGCCCTATAGACAATAAAATATGGAACATAATATATGAACATGAATTGTAAATGAAGGTGTCCAGACGTAAAGATGAATCATAACATCACATCCACATCTAAGCGTTTAAAAGTTAGTAAAGTTCCCAAAGCAGCAAGAAAACAGATGTAAAGATTACTGTTTAATTATAACTCCTAACAATAATACAAATACAGGAATTTTAACATAACTTGCTATATTTTCTATTTATTTTTTATTGACGAGCTCAAAGATAGAAACTTTTAATTTGCACTTTGAAAATACTGAAATTTTTAGATTTAAGAACATAGTATGGTCTTACACTAAATGAATTATCCTAAGAAACTGAAGTGTAAAGATATACTTGATAGTATAGATACTTTAATTGCTTAAAAATATGAAAGTGGTAAAAGTCGATATGCTTCGAGTAATCAAGAATAGGTGGCTATTTTCAAGATTCGCTAGACTCTAACATAAAAGAGATTTGAAATAGAAATATAAAGATGTCAAATCAAAAAAAAGATGTCATTGGCAACTTTTTTTTCTGTTTCACTCTCGTTCACCGCAACTTTTCTGGTTTTGTTTTTCAGTTCTATTTTTCTTGTTTTTATTTTATTTTATAACCATCGTTGAACAGCCGACCCAATATAGAGTTTACGACTACTAATGTTCAACTCCGTATCCTTGTAATTTTGAACCCAATTCAGAAGACAAGGGAATTTCTGGATCAAGTACTGGGAGAAATTTTGCCTTCGGGGAGGACTTTTTGATGGAACTAACCCGACTCTGAATTACGTGGAGAGGAAAGCCACAAAAATCTTCCATGGTTAGCCTGACAGCAAGGGGACTCTAACTCATGATCCGTCTACCACTGAGGATATTTTACGTCAGCACTGTGGTTGGTGCAAGCCGGATGCGGAATTCGTATCATCAAGCCATTGCTGGGATTCGAACCCGGTTCACCTCATTGGAAGGCGAATGCTCTATTTTTCTTGTTGGCAACTTTGTGCCTTTTGCGTCAAATCTCTATTGATTTTGCTTTAGTTTCATTTACATATAGTAAGTATTGAAAATAAGTGACTATAAGTGCTCAAAACATGTCGACTTTTAACACTTTCATAATTTTTTGTGTTATTAAAATGGTATAATCTGTTGTAGATTATAAAATCTTCTTTATTGCATGAAATCTTTAAAGAATTATTTTTGGGGGAAGGGAAATAGGTAATAAATAGGCGATGATTATTTCAAATTTATATTATGAAATATTTAATTTATATTACCACTGATTTTAGCTCTTAACAAAACAAAACTCTCATTAGAAACTATCTCTTTCAGTAAAAAATTACAAAAACTAAACTCGTTGTTTTTAATTATAAAAGTGATAGCAACAAAACTGAAAGATAACATAAAACGAAAGTATAAAATAGAAAATAAAAGATATATTCACTTTTCTATTCAAACAACATAACTTTGTTTTTTGTGATGCGCAAAAAAATTTATCCGAGAATTAACAGTTCGTATGAAATCAGAAAAAAATAATAATCAATAAATCAAGCGTGTTCAACAAAATAGTTTATGATTAATGAATTGAAACTTCGAAAGTTAATGAAAGTTTTAATTACTTTCAAGCAAAATGAAAATTTTATTTTATGATTAATTTTATTTCTTTATTTGTTATTTTTTCTTTTTGTATTTTCCATTTATAATTGCAGCGCAGAGCAACAGTTAATCGTTTATTTGAATGATTTATCGTTAATAATTTCAGAAACTACAACAACGTGTTCTTCAAAAAATATTCTTGTTACTGAGGAAAAAAAGAGCATTTTTACAATTAAATTAATAACTCTTTCATCACAGAACGTTTTGGCATGTTTCAATTTAATATGAAAGTAAAGAAAGCATTCTAAAACAGTTAAAAAAATAAGTTTAATGTTTAACTTAGCCTTTGTCGAAATAAAAAAAAGATTAAAATAAAAGAAGATAACTAAATGTAGTTTAATTCTGAATAATTTTTTTAAATATAACTTCTCTATGATACTTTTTATTTAAGGTTTTGTGATACTTTCAAATTAATTGTATCATTATTTTAGAACTTGATACTTCATATTTAATTTAATTAAAATGTTGATTGATGCAAACTAAGTTTTTTAATTCGATAAATGATGAAGTTATCGTCTTTTTTATTATTTGTGTAAAAAATCTTATTTCGAAGTGATACTAGTTAATGTTTTTTAAGTATTTAAATACATATATGTTAAAGAATAAAAAAAAATTCCAAATTTAATCTCTAGTTTACTTAAAATAATCATTATTTTATGGAACAAAAAAACATTTTAGAAGTTGCTTTTTCTGAATTCCAGAAATCTAACTTTTGAAGTTCGCAAATAAGATTTCATTTAATCATTCATCCTTTAAAGTCTGTTAAAACTAATCACTTTTAATTTTTGATCAAAGATGCAAATACCAATTAAACTTAGTCTGGAGTTGATTTAAAAGAATAATTTATTTCATAAAATAGCAAGAAACTATAATTAATTTTAAACTCAAATAATCCAATTCTTGATAAAATGTATTACTTTTAACATCTATCAAAGATGCAAATACTGATTGAGTAATTGCATTAGTACAGTAAATATCAATAGTAATTAAATAGTTTAATAAGTAGATAGCGAATTACGCGTTTTCTAAAACTTATCAAAAATATATTTAAAGTATATTAAAGTATATAAGTATACTAAAATGTATTAAAAGTGTAAAATATCGTTTTGTCTACTCAATTGAGAAAAACAAACAAACAAACAATATTTGAATTACTTTTGATTTGATTCTGACATTTTCGTACACTTTGTCGCAATTTTAATAGTTTTTTAAAGTATACCTAAGTTTATTATACGGAAATTAAAACACTTCATAAATTAACAAAAGGGAAAAGTCAAAATGTTTTAAGTGCTCAAAAATAGGCGCTATTTCGTTAAAGAGGAAAACAAATGAAATTTCGAAAAGAAAACGCAAAGTTTCCAATGAAAAAAATAGATAATAAAGATGGAAGACAAAACTAGAAAAACCTCGGTAGTTAAAAGGCAAATAAGGAGAGGATATATTTCCAGGCGCTATTCTTTTCTTATAACTAGCTTAGAACATAAGACATAATTTTGAGTTTTCGACCATCAAGAGTTATTTCGACTTTCAAGACTATATCTTGAGTGTCCAGCTCCGGAGCCTTGAAATTTCGATCCCAATAAAGAAGACAAGAGAAATCCTGGATCAAATATTGGGTTGTAGTTGTAGTTAATTTACGTCGCACTAGAACTGCACAATGGGCTATTGGCGACGGTCTGGGAAACATCCCTGAGGATGATCCGAAGACATGCAATCACAATTTTGATCCTCTGCAGAGGGGATGGCATCCCCGCTTCGGCAGCCCGACGACCTGCACGTGAAGTCGAGCACTTTACGGTAGAACAGTTTAACGAGCACCGATACCGCACACCCTCGGTCCCTACGCAATCTAATCCAAGTGGTCACATACCCGCACACTGACCGCAGTCAGTGATGCTTGACTTCGGTGATCAAATATTGGGAGAAATTAGTCTTTGTGGACGAGTTTTTGACGGATCTCTTCCGTATATGCGCTACATTAAGAGGAAATGACGTCAGGCTCCCACAATTAACTAGGATGATGTACTGCCATGTTAGCTCGACGGTAAGTTCATGACCCGTCTACCACTGAGGTCAGTGCGAGTTGGGAGCAAAATTCGTCCTCGCTCGGATTTGAACCTGAGACACCTCATTGGCCATTTTGAGATCATCTCTTTACCAGGGGAGTCGTCATTCATATGAGGGAAATAATAGTCCAAAGTGTCAAGGTAAGTTGATGTGACAAAGGTAAAAAGAATGTTGGCGTTATCGAAATTAAATTTATACCGAAGATTTCAACAATGCTTAGATGCAATCGATGAATCAAATTCTTCTATTACCGAAATCTCGATGCAGGACATATCTATCGCCTTTTAGTTTAAAATTTCAAAGCGTGTTTTGTGTGACAGACGTTAAGGTTGAATTGACATGGCATATGTTGAATGGCACACTTTAATCAATACTTATGGAACGTCCTTAGTGTCATGTTTTGGATTTGTTCAATTTTTTCTTTCAGGTGCTTGCTTGAAAGTTAATAGTTTCTTTTTGTAGCCAAGTTTCTTTTGAAATCACCGTCAGAAGACACTTAACTCACAAATATAAGCTGCACAAGATTATGGAATAAAATAATTTTTTAACTAATATTTATCAGTCAAGAAAAGAATAAGAAAATTTCACTTTAGTGTACTGGTAAATTTCATGCAAAACCGAAATAATTTTTTTAATAACGCACAAAATATGCTTTTAAGTTACTAATTAAAATAAGAACTTTCTTTGATTAAACATTTTTTTTTATCGGATTAAAGTTCAGAAAAATTTGANGTGATGCTTGACTTCGGAGATCTGCTGGGAATAGTGTGATCAAATATTGGGAGAAATTAGTCTTTGTGGACGAGTTTTTGACGGATCTCTTCCGTATATGCGCTACGTTAAGAGGAAATGACGTCAGGCTCCCACAATTAACTAGGATGATGTATAATTTTTTTAATAACGCACAAAATATGCTTTTAAGTTACTAATTAAAATAAGAACTTTCTTTGATTAAACATTTTTTTTATCGGATTAAAGTTCAGAAAAATTTGAAAATATAGATGAGGCCGAATTTCATATAAATGGCACCAGATACTAGGATGATCGATAGTTTAAAAATCAGTACTAGTATGTTTAAGTTTTATGTAATACTTAACTGTGCAGATTTTCATTTCTTAAAAAAATATAGTTAATTAATTGCTTTATTATTCATGTAAAAACATTAAGTGTAAGAATAATTTATTTAAATGGATTAAAATAATAAATCAAACTTACCCGCCATCTTTTGGCCAAAGACTGCGAACCGCGTCTGTGGAATTTCCCCTTAAAGCATTCCCACTCTAAAAAGAAAAAAAAACATTTTTAGAGACACATTTTTCACATGTGCATTTTTGCAAACAATTGATTGCAACACTAAAATTTTAAAATATTTAAATTTTCGTTTTAAAATAAAGATATTTATGATTTTATTTTCAATCATTAAATTAAGGTGCTTGTTGGCATATATATGACACTCATGATTCCACACACCGAAAAACGAAAAGAATATAAGAAAAAAATATTTCTCTTTCATACACAATAATGATATCTAAAAGTAACAGTATATTTAAGTTGTGTCGACTGCATATACCTCAGTACAAAAATTCTTGTAGTAATTTTTGAGCAAAATATTACATCAAAGATGATAAAACTCACAGTTGAAGTTGCAAGAAGTTTTTGTGTTAGGTAGTTCTCGTTACGAATTAGGCTATAATTTGGATATATTGCGAACGAAAAGTATAAAAACTATATGAAAAACTTTATTTGATGTTGAGACATATGTAGCATCTGGACTTAAGAACAAGTGAATTTTTTTTATTAAGGATCAAAGTAAAAAGTTACAAGATTTTTAAATTTTCTGTTATTCTTAAGTAGATACGACTGAAATAATGAATACTCGATATTAAACCCGTACTTTAAACAGATTTTAAAAATTATAATCTTAATATTTATTAATTTTTTAAAATCAAAACTTTCTTATAAAAATAAAAACGCCAATAAAGCAAAAAATAAAAGTACAGAAATGGATATAGTTTCGGTTTTATAAACTAGAATCTTCCTCAGTGTGTAAAATCCAAAGCTTCATTATATATTATTCATAAATAAACAGAATGTTATAAAAACATGTTTTTATTGTTTTTAATGAATTCTGAAATAATATAAATGCTTTCAAAGTTTAATGCTTCATTCAATATATTCTCTTTTAATTTTATCCAGCAAGTTAAGAAGAATTCTGCTAAACAGGAATTTGTTATCTTGAAAAAATTTAATATCCTGCTATTTCTTCTGAAAATTTTAGAAATTTACAGCAAAATTCCATTAGTTTTGTAGTATTTGCTTTTAAATAAGTTTAGAAACTAAATATTAAAGCTCTGTTTTGTGGAATTGTTATTGATAGAACATTCGTAAGTAAAACATTTAGCAGTTGAGAAACGTTTGGCTATCAGAAATATAGAAGAAAATAAAAATGCAAGAAGTGGCAGATAATTGATTTTAAATTTAATCAGTTAAAAACCCTACTTTTTCAATAAAGTGAAAAATAATAGAAACGTGATTTTCTCACATTTTTCAAATTTCTAAAAAAAGTTAACATTGTTGAGTTTAATTAGATGACTTAAATTATATATATATTTTTAAATTCAAAGAAAGTTTTTATAATAAATTATGAAAAGAACCCTTATTCGATGGTAATGAAGCCATTTACAAGATTTAAAAGTTTTTTTTAAAAAATAAAGGATTAATTGAAGACAAATTTCTTTCTTTAGAGAAAATGGTTTCAGTTTTATTTTATTTGAAAATTCAGTGTAAAAGACAGCGGAATAAAAATAAAAACTAAATTCTTATTAAAAAAAACTTTACTTCTAAATTAAATTAGGATAATTCTTTTATTTCTTGCTATTTAAAACAATAGTAAATACTTTAAACCACAGTTTAGAAAAATATACTTGTTGGTATCAAATCTACAAATAATCTTTAAAAAAAAAGGTAAACTCTAGAGTCATTGAAAAAAATTATAAAATTATTTTTCTTCCTCTTTCAAATTCTTTTTAAACATTAAAAATAGCATCATTCAATCCAATCTGATATTTAAAGAGCAATCAAGTGCACTTTGATGTAAATTTATTTCCAGAAAGATTAGAAGAAGAAAAAATCATCGTCTAATCTTTCATCGATGACAATCAAGAAAAACCTATTCGCTCTGGAAACAACGGAAGAAAAGATTAAGACAAATAAATTCTTTTCAAAAGGGTGATTTATTTCGTCTTTTTTTTAACAAAAAAAATCTTTATTTAGAATGAGTTTGCAATAATTCAGAAAGAAATGCATTATCGTTTGAGGAATTTTACTTTAAATAAATCTTTGACTATTAAACAAATAGCAACCACCGTTTGATTCATTTGAAATTAATTTTTATAAAAATAAAATTTATTTTGTTATTATAAAAAATAATTTTTACTTTCATTTTAAAATTTAGTCAACATTTTAAGAATAAATCTTATTTCTTACTGGTAATATTGGTGCTCGAAAAAATATATTTGGTACATTTACTTGTCATAATTTTTAATTTATTTCAATACTTTATTATTTATCACATAGAAAGAATAAATATCTTGTAATGAACGTTAAGTTATATCTAATAAGTTTTTTTGGAGTTCTTGCATGATAAAAGAAATAATGGAAAATTTTTGTTACGTTTCTAAAGTGATTTTTATTTTTTAAAACATGATTTATTTTTCATTCTATAAAAGCTACTACTTGTATTTTAAATTATAATTATATTTTTAAAAGAATATTTTTAAATAAATTCTTAATGGAAGCATATTATTTCAGTTCATTTTTTAAAATCATGTCTATTGATAAAAATAGGGTATATTTATTTTTAAAAATCAGTTTTTGCTTCAGTTTTGTTTTGTTTTTATTTTTATCTGATTAGTTCATTGCTTAGTAACTACGGAAAAATCTAGTAATGATGGAAAAATCTAGTATGAGTCCAGTAATAAATCTGGTTCTAAATATATACTTTAAAGACAGCGAATACGAAATATTCTGTGAAAACATAGAAAAAAATTGGGTTTCAAATGATTATAAAATATCTGTTTTATAAAGAATGCAATTAATTCTTTAAGAGAACAAAGACAGTAGTTATTGAGATTGAAATTGCAATTATTTGATTTTCATAAAACTTATTGCATTTGATTATATAGAATAATGTATGGAGAATAGTTAATAATAGAAGCGATCTTTTAAAAAGCTACTTATTTAATAATGCTACATTATTATGAAGTAAATAGAAATTTTATTGATTTGTTGTTATTTTTGATATTTCAAGCAATAATTCATTCACTTCTTATAAAACAAAGGTAATTAGAAACTCAAGAGAAAGGAAAAATAATTTTTTTTGCTGGATAATCTATCTTTTGGAGTTTGAAAATTCTATGAGTAAATAATAAATGGATGCTTAAATAATTAAGGAAAAATTAACGCTATCATTGGGAAATGATTATAAACTATGTTTAAATAATAAGAGCAGATTAACTAGGAAAACGCATTATTTATTTTAAAAGATTGATTTTAGAAAGAAAGTAATTCTGAAATGTTTATAGAAATTCGGAAATCAGAAAACAAATAAAATATACAAACAAATAAGATATATAAAATTTGACGTTTTTAAAGTTTCAACAAATAATGTAATAAGAAAAAATAGAAATTTTTAACATATTATACTGTAATTATAAATTTATTTTAATTAGTTATAGTCTTTACATAATTAAATGATACCCTAGTTATTAATACATACAAAGTTTTGTTTGATTTCTTTTGAGTCTGAGAGTAAAATTTTATTGAGTACAATTATTGAGATAGTTATTTACTATTACTATCTTAATAGCAGTTTTTTTTTAAAAATCTTAGTTAAAGTTGTTTAAAACTTCTCAATTTACTAAAATATCATCAATTTAAAGCTATATAACATTTACTTACGATAACACTTATTTGTATGACTACATAAAGCTTTTTTTGTGGTAATTTTCTTGTTTTAAAAAAATTCATTTTAAATATTTCTTATTTAAATAATATAGCAATTCTGAATACTACTTTTCTACTTATCTTCCATGCGTTAAAAGTCAAAAATAATAAATTATCAGTCAATCATAATAACATACAACATGTTGGCATTTTAACAAATTATCAACATCACACGTTATATGTTTAACTAATTACAAACTAATGCATACTGAATGGAATAGTATTTGTATTGAAAGCAATCGTTTTGATAAATAAATTATTCTATGTAAATTAGGCGAATGCATCATGTTTGAGTCTTGAATAGAAAAGCATTCCTACTTTTAAATGACAAACGATATAGAAATTCCTAATAATTTTAACATAATTTTGTATAATTTATCTTGTAAAGATTATCATATAACGGTTATCATATAACGTAGAGCGAGCATCTTCTTAAACATAATTTCATTAAGAATATTTTTATTGCATTAAGATACTAAGAGGTGAAATGATAAACATTTTATTTACTTTGGCAGAATATTTTAGACAAAGTATTTAGAATAAAGTTATATCATTTTACCTCCCAAATGTTGCAGATGGATAGTAAAATTTATTTTGTAAAACCAAACAGGGAAAGGAAAAAAAGTTCATGTTAATTATATTTGGGGGAAAAACGAGTATTTGTCTTCCAACAAATGTGTTCCATTTATAAAACTTATTTGTTAAAATAACTGAACCCTTGTTAGTTGAAAAGTTTAGTGGAAGCAAATTTAATTTCTTTCTGCCAGTTTTTTTTAAAAAAAAGTAGTTCTCAGTGGAAAAAATATGTCTTTTAAACAGCTCCTGCTGCTACTATATTTTCTGAAGTTGAGTCATCCTGCTTCACTATAAAAAGCAAGTAAAACATTCCAGCAGAAGCTGTTGGATGTCAAGGGATCATGGAGTTTAAGGCTCCACAATTTCGCGATCAATGGTATGATTTTGAAAATGCTTTCATCTTTCCGCATGGGTTGCTGTTGCTTCTCACTACTAGCATACTGGTACCCAATGATACAAATCTGGGCGGACTTTAAGCCACTAGATTCGTAGCCACCAGAATCGGAATCGTTCCAGACTTTAACATCGGCATCTTGGGGCCGTTTACTAAGGAATGACATGACTCTAACTTTACTATATTTACACATTATTCTTCTAAGCTCTTCAAAAATATTTAGTTGGGGATAATTAAAATGTACTTGATATCCTTCTTTGTATAATTTTACAAAAAAAAGTCAATTGCCAACTTGAAATATTAGTT